GGTTCAGCCTGGGGGGAGCCAGCGAGCGGATTTCACCGGCCAAGCCAGGGGGCAGGGATGTGGGTGGTGCCCATTGTCCCAGGCTGTGGGAGAGCAGGTTTGCCTTAGGAAGAGCAAAGGACCAAAGCTTAGGGCCTTGGGAAGGGACAGGAGTTAGTGCTGAACTGCTTGCTCTTGCTCTGGACCTGCCCTGACCAGTGTGGCTCCTTGCAATGCCTGGCGCGAGCGGATTTCACCGGCCAAGCCAGGGGGCAGGGATGTGGGTGGTGCCCATTGTCCCAGGCTGTGGGAGAGCAGGTTTGCCTTAGGAAGAGCAAAGGACCAAAGCTTAGGGCCTTGGGAAGGGACAGGAGTTAGTGCTGAACTGCTTGCTCTTGCTCTGGACCTGCCCTGACCAGTGTGGCTCCTTGCAATGCCTGGCCAGGTTTATTGGTACCCATGAAATGTCAAGAAGGGAAGTGGTGACAGATTTTCCCTGGCTGTGGGAATTCACCATTTGAACCTGTTTCCCAAGCAAAGGCCTAGATTTGCCCTCAGGTAGATGTTGGTCTCTAAAGCTATATCTACACTAGGAATCTACTTTGAAATAACTAAATTTGACTTAATATTTCCTGAATTTACAAAATTGAAATGGCTATCCCCACTTCAGGGATGCCTCAATGTGTATGCTCCACCTTCACTTAGAGCCCCAGAAAGCACTGAGGGGTAATTAGTTTGAATTACTCTGAGCAGTAGTTATTCTGAAATCACTGCACCGGAGCGTCCACACCAATGCTATTTCAAAATAACTATTTTGAAATTAGCATTATTCCCAGAGAAAAGCAGGAGTACAGATTTTGAAATAAGCTGCCTGTTGTTTTGAAATCACAGGTGTGGTAGTGTGGACACCCCCTTCAAAGGGGGGTTGTTTTGAAATAAAGCCCTAGGGTGGACCAAGACTAAGGTGCTACTATAGGACTACTCACTCTTAAAGTTACAGCCTAACACAGCTACATCTCTGAGACCTCACATAGAAAGTTTATGATGTTTATCCAGAATAGGTTGCAAAAAGTTTCTTGTACCCAAGCTCAGGCAAATTTTAGATGGAAACGAAGGAGGGCTTTGTTGTTGTTTTGTTGTTGTTGTTGTTGTTGTTTCTTAAGGGTCACAATTTTGAGTGAGAGTGTTAGAACGTGTGGTCCCCAAATTGGAATCAGAAGGTTTTTCTGGTCAACAATCTTTGACACTCCACAACATTTTGAGCAGGAAACTGCTGGAAACCTGAACAAACCTTGAAAATCTTCTCAGAAAAATGGCTCAGAACCAGCACATTTCCAACGAAAATATGAAAAATGTTCTATTTACAGGTTTTAATTTACAAGAGGAAGGGGAGGAAGCCACTATTTTTAGAAGAAAGCTTGTGTAGCCCACAAACGTCTCTGTTTTCTCAAAAACTGAGATATTTGTAAAAGAAAAAAAAAAGATTAGATGGAAGATTTTCCACCAACTGTAGTCTTTCATGGAATTTGGGTCCCTCTTTTAAAAAGTGACTCTTTTAGTTGAGATAGAAATTTGGACACTCTCCAGCAGTTGCTGGCATTCAGCATCCGTTTTTCATAATTTTTCACAGTACCCAGAACGAGTTCAAGCATAGCACTCCTGACAACAGGATGGACAGGTACAACCAACCCAGCATGACAAGGGCTACAGGGTAGCCTCAGGAGTACAGAAAAGGCATGGTGCCTACGGCAACAACTTTTTCCCCTATACCAGATTACCCAAAGACAGTGGGTTTCTCGGGGAAGGCGGCAGGGCCAACCCGCAGGGCCCCACCTGAAGTGGCCTGGCCAGACCCCGCCGGCTTTGCTCGCATAGCGCTTTTGCCGCTTGGAATCTGACCCACGTGAAGCGTCCCTGCGCT